TTTATATATATGTTGCAGGTGTATGTTGCCACGGTAACGGGTAAATTCCCTGCTTTGATCACAATTGACGTTGATTGCTGTTATAAAAAGAAGTCTGTATATTAATCACATATACTATTCTGGATATTTTCAGCAATATACAACCCAACTATTGCATATTTTAAGAATGCTTAAAATATCTATATGATATGCACTCTCTTGCATTCTGTGATTACTATTAATAAAGATTCCATTTTTTAGTTAATGAGATTTTGTAGTGTGTATAAATATTCATATACAGTAGCTGTCGTGAATTTCTACTGGATAGTGCACTATCAACATTAAAGAAACCCATTAATAGATATTGCATTTGCAATGCAAACACATTTGGGGCCAGCCTTCAGTGGCGGATTTAGAGAGGGGAGTAAGGGGCGTACGCCCCCTCTATTTTTTTTGTAAAAAATGTTTTGTAAAGCTTATCAGAAAATTACCATGCTAAATATTAAAAATCAAGCAAATATCAACTCAAATTAATGAAGGTACTAGAGGTTTAAGGGAGAATCTTCCCTTTCACCCTTACCAGGGACTCTTTCCTGAGACTCTCACTTAGTTCGGACATTCACGCCCCCTCTTTCTTACCGGGCTGGATCCGCCCCTGAGCCTTTATGCATTTCGATAGGCGTACATACTGTAGGTGAAGCCATGACAAATGTTCTAACAGGCTGAATAAAACCTGGTTTATTTTGAACGTTATTGATACCTACCTTCGATTGAAAACAAATTTTAATTATAAAAGTTATCAGAAAAGTATCGAATATCGGAAAGAAGAAACTGTGAATCGAATGATCCCAGGGTGTGACGTCTGCAACTACGATAACGCCAATTTCCGTCTTTACTAGAGCATTATACAAATAAAGATATCTATGAGTCATATTCAAAATTATGTTATTTATTTACAATTATGAGGTAAAATTATAGTAGGCTCTCATTGTTTATTACAACTTTTTTACTGTTCATTTTTCTTTAAAATTGCATGCTTAAAAATAGTATTCAAACATTTGTTGGGAATTCCATGTATCTGGAAATTCCCAATACATTTCATTGTTGTCGTTACGTCGCGAGCCAATTGTAGGCTGATATTAACGGTGTGCGGCTAAACAGCTTAAAACACCGTTTCGCTCTCTGGCAGAATTGCTGATATAGAAACCTTTCAAATTAATCTAGGCCCCTATATACCAAATAATGCCACTGATTATTCCGGGATTTTTGTCCATGCTCCCTGACCGCAAGCCCTGGCAGCCAATTTATATGTGTATAATCGACATGTTAGTACTATCATATTAATAAAGTAGCTATATAGAACATTGTGCGAGTATACTTTAGACTATTAAAGAGGTTATGCACAGTACCGGCAGATGTAGCCTATTAGGCCTGTGAAAAGATGAGTATAATCATGATCGCCATCACTGAAATTATCATCGTCATCTTGTCCCTTTACAGTACCATCTCGCCTCTTACAAATACACCCAACGTACAAATTCTCCCCTACAAACTTGCACACCCCCCCCCCACTATTACAAACTCCCCTTCTAACAAACTCTCCCCCAACAAGCTCGCTCTCCAAATAACTAGATAGTAAAATGAAAGGTGGCAACGTGAATACAGTAGATGGATGTAGGATGGTGATGGTTAAATTATAAAATAACCCATTATCCAGATTTTGTTGATCAATTCACTATAAACAGGGAGTTCTTATAAATAACAACTCCCTGCTATAAACATAATTGATTACCATTAATACAATGATTATTTCAGATGACTTCAATTCCCTTCTATTAGTAATAGTGTATTGCCAAATATATCGAAATTTTATAGAGATAATAAACGTCATTTATTAGGTCTACGTTGCTTATCCATACGAATAGGCCTACTCGTTCTTTTGCATGCACACATTGATTCTGATTGCTAACGATTTGAACATGACCTTGAAATCAATATTGCATTTTATCGATCATCACCTTTATTATGTATTTTTGTGAAATAGTTATAGAATTATGCTACAATTTGATTGTGATATTTTATATATTCTTGTTAATAAAATGTTACTTATTTAGAGATAATGCAACTTTAAAATACATACTGGCAAGTTGGAAAAAATTGCTCCTCGAAATATTTTTACACCGCTAATTTCATTTTATTATCACAAAATTAAAATAATATCTAATATTTGTCGGTTGTTTAAATTTTCACTTGAATTTAATGGTGTTGGTACCGACTACTACATGTTTAACATTATAGGCGTAGACTGTATACCGGTATTAATTATCATCACCTTTCTTCCCTCTCTCCTCCCTTGTGTGATTTATGAGCAGGGGTGGCGCCAGGATTTGCCCGACGGCGGGACGTCCCCGACCGGGGGGGAGGGTGTGCGATATCCCCGACTAGGGGGAAGATGTCCCCGAAGAGAACAAAGTGGGCGTGGTCGGGCGTCAAGAAAACACATACCGGTACAAAGGAAAAATGAAAATTACAATACATAAACGATAAGGTTGTAATCTTTGGATTAACATGTAGTGGAATTAATTTGTAAACATCTGCTGTAATTGCTCAGTTATATGGTAGTTCACTGTTATTTTCAAGGAGTTGTAACAAATCATTAATAAAATGCCAGTTTAAAAAGCAATATTCATTGAAACTCTTATTGAGAAGAAGAATCCGATACATAATAGTCATACATATTGTATATAAAATAGTAATTGGGGCATAAGAACAAAATTAAGATTAAATAGCATTATGGCATTCATAAATATATAAAGGATTCGTTATTATAGTATAGGATTGTATAATGTTGTTTATAACAATTAGTTTATATAATTTATAATACATATACCCTGCATATACCATGCCAGTCATTGACATCATTGTGGTACAATAAACAATGTTATTGTTACAGAACGCTGGTATAATAATCCACCAGAAATACGGATTTGAAGCACCAAAGTTGGAAATAATTGCAACAAAACGTTTTTTTTATGAATATATATAGTTAAATTTTATATCTACAACATACAAAAAGTTTACCAAAATATACCCACGGGAAAGGTGATTTTTATAGCAAAGAAAACTGAACTATTTCACTGGGCTTATACGCCCTGCCTAGGATGTGTGTGCTGTGCCTTGGTTACGAAGCGCTTTAATTTGATTTGCGCTGACGCTGACGCTTTTGATTGGTTAACATACCTTCAACAGTCTGCGCGTACTCATTTACGCAACACACGTACGTACGTACGCAAGTTCGTACGTACGTCACGTCCCAGAATGTAAACACGGAAATTGTAATTGTTTGTTAGATATTATAACCTCTGTAATATTTAATTTCAGGGTAGATGGATCTACAACAATAATTCAATTTTAATTTTAAATACAATGATAGGTACGATTAATTGACAAATAGTGAGGCCTGCCCAGTTTGTGCCGACCCAGCTGAGACTCAGGAGTCGAAAAAAAAGTATGTGATCTTACATCAATAGGCCCTATATAGGAATAGGCCTATTATTATATTTTCTTACCTAAAAACACCAATTAAAATTTTATAGCTAATACAATAAAACAAATTTATTTGCAAATAATGTAAAATAATTGTTGATATTTTAAAAAGTATAATAATGACTGATAATTGATTTATTTGAAATAGGCCTACTATTCTACTCCCTTCATATAAAAAAAATGTTGGAAATCACGTAAATTCAGAATTTGGTGCCGAATTACTGTATAATGCCTGTATAATGCCTTGTCTTCTGGTGAATAGCATGGACGGGGGTGACAGGCGACACGTACCCCAACTATTTTAAGGGGTGGTCCCCATCACGTTCCTAAGGAAGTCAAGAATATTCCTGGAAATTGTAGAATTTAACTGCATAAATGACCAGATTTTAACGAAAGACCACTTTACAGGCAGATAACATCTTATTTTATAACAAGATTCCGGTCGGTGTTTTCTGTCCACAAACATCTGAATTAACTGTAATACACGACTCGAGTGCGTGCCTTTATTATACAAGTATGATAAAAAGTGTGTAAAGATAAATTGGTTTTCGGCTCATGAAGTTGGTAAAGTAGATAAATCGAAGACAATTATGTTGTTATATTTCTATCGCAGCGATTCATATTAGATACAAGATAGGTTTATTGTATGAAATTTGTTTTTCTCATGTCAACAAAAGTACATAAACAACAAAGAAACATACGATCAATGATGATTAATTTTACATCATATGTACAGTATTAACTAGATCTCTATGTTAACGAAAATCGTTAATAAGAGATCATGAGAAATTTGTTGACGCTTTATTTTGCCTGGTGATGTGATGATGATGAATTTTACTACTGTATAAAAAAGTGCATAACCAATGATAAAAATAGTGTACCACAGAACGCAAGCCCGTCTATTGATGACGTTATATTGATGTTTACAATCAAGTACGCAATTATGAGTGAAATCCAGTTAAACGCGAAAATAATTTGTAACCGTTCAATTTGGTTGCAGACTGTGAAGAAAGTGGTAGCTAGGAGATTCACCACGTTGTGAGGTGAGTTAACTTTCATTAATTTATTTTTACTATGAACTGATGTGAACAGGGGAAAAATCACGATGGTGGCAGAAATTCACTGGCATTTGTTTGTATCAATTAACCATTACCGTATGTAATAACTGTATTAATGGTATACTGAATCGGTTAATTATTCAATAGTCGCTGGTATTTGTATTGCGCTAAATGCCAAAGCAAGGTTTTGAACAATGGCCCATTCATGACTTTGGAAAAAATACTTGGGGTGCCTCAAATAGTCCATTAAAGGTTTAAAAAAAAAACATCGAAAATAAATAATGAAAGACACAATCATCCCACGTAAAAACCCTAATACCGAAACCACTTTCGAGCGATCCCTTTGTTAAACCTAACCATAGGCGGATTCAAATAGGAACCAATTTCCCCCTCCACCCGCCCTCTAATTTTTTTTTAAAATGGAAAAAAAAAATGTTGGCTATACAATATTGTACAAGTCAACTATGTTAGGCCACAGTGTAAAATTTCTGGATAAGTGTTAAGTTTGCGAGCGTAGCAATTAAACAGACACTGGGGGCCGCACAGGGCCCCGGTCGTGGTCCTTTTGATGAATGCCCCTCGCGGTCAGAGCTTATGGCATTTATAAACTGTTAATTGCGTTATCAGAGAATGGTCCATGACTGATGAAATATTTCACACAATTTTATGGCAAAACGAACACAGATTACATAGGCCAACTTTCGAAACTGGTAGGCCTATATGCCTACAATATATATAGGCCTATGTACTCTATGTAGGTGTTATCCATACAGAGAATATTTTAGTGAAAAACAAAACATGTTTTAATCAAAGACTTTTAACTGTTACTGTAACAGTTAAAAGTCCTTGTTTTAATAACGTATAGGCCTATACAATGCAAAACAGATTGATCACAAAATCAGAAACAAATGTCAAACATCAGAACTCAGCTGTTATTTGAATGAAACTATGGTACAGTATTATAGTTCATATTATATTGTTTAAAACTACAATGGCCCCTATTGCCGGTGGGGGCGGGGGGCTAGCGCTCCGCCCTCTCCTTTGTCAGCGCCAGAGAGTGACGCCACTGATGCTTCAGCCTCACTGATTACAGAATAGTTACTTCAGGAAACCTAAGAATCATGTTAATGGGTCTGACGACATAGACACATAGATAAACTAATACGATAAAAAAAAATCAAAATTTGTTTTGAAAACTACTGTTTTTATTGGGACAAAAATTGGTTTGAATAAACGTTCACATTAGTTTGATTAGATGATACAACGGTGCGGGCAATTTACTACATTATCATTTCTAAAACAAAATCTATCTAGATTCAAATGATACCAACCTATTTTTACTTGCGGAAACAACAATTTAAAATTATTCATGAAAATTTAAATCAGTTTCAAACACGATATATTCTCATTCATTTACTCTCTTTCTCTCAAAATATGTCAGTATGGAAATTGGTTTAGCCTTCAAAATGACATCTCTCGTGTAAAAATAATTGTTCATAAATCTCATACGCGTTGTTTTGCATACTGTTTTAGTTGGATTGGTTTACATTGCAACATCAATGGTCGTTTAACTGAACTAAAAATTATTCATTTAATTATTTGTTTTACTACAAATTATTATTATTTTATCATTATATTTCTTCCCATTACAATTACAATTACAAGAAGACTCATCTTTTGTTTACTAGGCCTATTTGAAATTCGAATACGTCTTCACATGACCTTGTTATCTCACTATCATTTATTATACCATTATCCTAAGCATTTCATTACAAGTAAAAATATATACAGACCAGAAAGCAGGATTTTTAATGGGTGGGGGTGGGGTGTTTGCGAGCAGGCAAGAATTAGCCTGGGGGCCGTCTGCACCCCGGGGCGCAGGGGGTTTCCCTTGGAAACTCCGACAAAGTAACACCATTTCTGAAACCCATAATTCGTGAAAATTTATATTTATTTTTATATTTCCAATCATTTGGGACCTGATATGTAACGTTTTAGACAATTACATGTAGACCGACATTGTTTACATAACGTTTTGTTCACAATCATGGATCAAGCAATTAGCCTACCGGAGCTGATCGATTTCCAAACAATTTTGTAACATAGTTAATAAAGATTAACGATTAAAAAACTGGCAAGTAAAATTCAAGTGCGTTCGCAATTTCTGCGCCCCTCCCTTGCCTACAGGCCTGTATATTTAAACGCAATCTTTTGTACTTATATGTACTTGTACTTAGTATTTATTTAAACTGGCACTTACCCGGATACAGGTATTTGAAATAGAGAGGATCCAAGGGGGGACTTCCACAATGGAGGCTGTACACCACCCCAGGTCGAATGGTTGGGGCTCAGGTAAGACAATTTATGGTTATGGCACTGCTAGATGGCCGGAAATGGCACTCACAGACTTAAAATTTAAATATCATTAAATCTATCTCCATTTAAAAAAATGACAATTTTAGAGAGGGGGAAGCTCCTCCCTTTAGTCCGCCAGTGGATATAATATATGTCCTGCTGTCGATGTCAGAGGCAGTACTCTAGGAGAGGGGACCTTCTTGCGGACCGCGGAACGAGTTATTGCGCCACTGTCACTTACTTTCATATACATATATTTTCATACATGCTTGATGATTAACAACTCAACAATTGTAGAAGCGGTTAGGCGTGGCGGAACGGTTTGGTTTCCCAACCTCGAGGTCGGGGTTTCAATCCCTCGTTGACCATTTTGCGTGTGTCCTTGCTTCTCTCCAACCAGGAGTATACATGGGTATCTGGTGGGGTTGTCTGCTCCTGCGCGGTTTACCAGCAGAAACACTTAAAGCATGTGGACCCAATGGCAAGGGAAAAGAATGAAGCGCTTTGTATCTGCAAAGAAAAGGCGCTATGTAAGTGATATAAATAATATTAGAATATAAAGTAATCAGCATTTTAGTGCTATATGATATGTTATCACGTGATCATATAGCGTTTCAAAAAAATATATTTCTCATCGTATTATTTATATAATTAAAACATGTTTTCAATTTAAGGATGGTGCTCAATCCGTAATCTGTTTTAAATTCACTATCATTTTTAATATTTATTTCTGAATGTGGTTTCTATGTTAAATAATAAAAAAGGAAATCAGTAACCCGGGCAACGGGTTACGAAAAGTTTAATTTTCTGTATTTACAATGATTACTATATCTTTCTTTTGTGTCTTTTGTGCACCGCTTGCAATTACTCTTTACCCCAGGCTGCTATGATGCACTGATTTTGCAATTTGCAGTACAATGGCCGTTGTCCGTTATTCTTTCAGTAAGACTTCAAAGATTATTCATAAAATTAGGTTTAGATTGCCACAATAAAGCCTTGGCTATTTAGATAAGGTAATAAAAACACTTACAATACGGTTGAGTATTCGTATTGTATTGTGTGTATTGTGTATATTATTATTTGCCCTAAGGAATAATGATTGACATCTCGTTATATCTGTATAGGCCTACCTATTAGAGGCATTGTGCATGAAGCGCTATTTAAGAGCGACATATTATTATTATTATTTATTGGACTTGTAATTGTTTGAGCCAAATGAAATTTCAACAGTGCTAACGTACAAATTATAGCTACCAATTGTAGCGTGCTTCTTCTATTTGGACGTACATGAACGTCTCCAGAGTGTATGTCGGATATTATCTAGTCTTTATCTCTGAAGTATTGGGTAAAGCGGACCCTCCTCTGTGCAGTTGAGGTAGGCCGGATGTCATTGTAGATTTGGGCTTTGGTGGGATGGTCCTCCCAAGACAGGTTTCAGACACGTACTAGAAGTCTGGTGTAAGACCGCCAAAACGACCAAGCTCTTTTTTATCGTCCAAGTCCAGCGAAATGCACTCAATTCAGCAGTTAAGGTGTACAATAGTTCAAATTGTGCTAGAGGGATTCACTCATTCAAAAGATAATGTTTCTTATTGTAGCTTGTGCAATCAGAATCCTATTGATAATAAAGAAATCATGAATATCGGATTGTTATACTGTACAAGTTATAGTAATGAACTGTCTAATATCCAGCCTTCTTTAAATGAACAATCGAAGGCATCTGTATGTCTCCGGTCGCATTGTCTACATGAGCATTAGTTATCTCAAATTGTGACTTAAACATTCTGTCTTTTCAGATATGATGCTCTTTAAAATAATTGCAAGGTTTTTTGGCCAATGTTTGGTTATAGGTAAAATTTTGTATTTGTTTTTGTTGGTTATAATGATATGTCGAAGACTTACTAAAGTAAATAATTTGACTCTAGAATCTAGCTAACAATAGGTCGAAGACATACGTCTAGTGAGGTCTTTAATAAGAAATTGAAAAATATAATTAATAAGTGTTTGATCCAGATTAAGTTATTTCAAGATATACTACATACATATTTATTAAATATATATTGACAAATAATTATTTAATTGATGTAGAAGGTGTTTTCACAATTTAATTAAAACAGTTTAAACCCAAGTAAGCATTATAAATTCTTTAAAAAAATTAACATTTATCTATTAATTGTTATTTTTAAAAATGTTTAATCCAGGGCTACTCAGGGGGAGAAATAGACGTCAGAATCAAACATTTTAAATCATCAAAAGTACAACCAAATCAACAATTTAAGCAACATCACTTACACAAATACACAATCTCACAAATTTCAATAAATATCGATTAAAATCATTTTTAATTTAAAAATAAATCAGAAAATTTAAATCATAAAACATTGTTTATTTGGGATATAAAATACTGGTTTCATCTAGAAATTCTCTGCTCTGATGTTCCAATGCCAAGCTTGTCAGACATTAATAATGAAAGAATAATAATGAATTATTCATGCTGAATAGAAGTTCACAAACCACGCTTATTACTGGTTTATCTTTGACGTCTTTAGAAATGTGTGGGCTAGTTTATACTGTAGGCCTAAACCCCTGTTTTTTTTTTTGTTTTTTTTTTTGTTTTTTTTTTTTGCTTTCCAATAATGACTTTAAGATTAAGAATTATTATGTTAGTTCTATTTACTCTAATAACACAAGTTAGATATGTACTTCATTTAGTTGATCAATAATGGTAATCAATTATTAATTGCGTTTCCACTTATTTACACGTGTTATAAATATTATGTACGCCCACACTTCCATGGTGCGCCTCGGGATATCGCAAGTCTCTCTCAATAAGCCAAGCAAAGGATTGTGCTGGATTCTACCATAATACGACTGCTCCCAGTTTCTACTTATTCACAAGAGAGACTGAATTCTATTGAACTTCATTTATTAACGCTATAATACATAATTACTACACAATTTGCAATAAATCGTAAATCACATTATGCATAATTATAATGTTACGCGTAGAGAGATAAGCTATTAATCGTCTTGCTGTAATGCAGAAGGTCCCGGTTGGGGAAACTTTCAAATATATATATTATAAAAATCAAACTTCAAAGTTCTGAAAGATTTTTGATGTGAATACACCTCTGACTTCATACCTTGACACAGATCTCCATGTTATTCCCGATCCTGGATATGTCAATCTATTGTCTATAGACAATACATTAATAAAGTCTATAAAAATAGGTTCATCTCATGCAATTAACTATACCTTTGTATGCATCTTATCGCCAGCGCTCCTGATTTCTATTCCCACTCTCTCTACTGAAGTTCATCATGTCATACGAAACTGTGAAGAGCTTCGCATCTATGGATTTAAAAGTGATAGAACGAGTTTTGTTATTGATCCGGATGGAGAATATCAAGGTGTTGACCCTTTCATGGTGGAATGTGAAACGACAGGCAGTAGCTTTTCAGGTAGCCACAACAATATTGCCATTACTAATACCCGGGCTGCTGTTACTACTATACTGCTAATACTGCATGCTATTGCTACTACTACGAACATTATTAAATATTAAAATTAGTTTAAAAAAAGTAAAGTACTGTATAGTACTAGTAATTTCTATTTGATACATCAAAGAATATATATTTGTTCTAAAATTAAGAATAAAAAACAAATCACTAATATACCACACTTAAAACCAGATGATGTTTTTTGAAAATATAATTGATAATATTATTTCTAATATTATTTCATGTCAATGTTTATATTTCTAATTATTCATACCTATCACCCGACCAGGCAGAACAATTATAACACCGACATGCAACCTGGTAGAACATGTTTCGGGGTACGAAGAGAGAGGTTCTTTTATCCACGATATTACATACGCAATGTCCATTGATCAGATCGTAGCACTCATGACGTCATCAACGACTTGCCGACAGTACATGAAGGTAAAAAGTTACGAAATATTACTGAATCATCAACGTGGTTTTGAAGTATAAACTTAAAACTCACATCTTTAATATCGAAATATCTAATATAGACCTATCAACAGCGCATTTGAATATTTTGAATTTTATTCTGAATTGGTAACTTGTTTATGGCTCAATTGTATAAAAATTATCTTATTCCATTTTTAAGTATGAATGCGTGAATTCCATACTGTCCGATGGCTACTGGGTGTCACGTGATGGCTCTGAGATGCTTAACTGGGGGTCTCCAACGGGGTATGTCGGTTGCATGTGTGGATATAGAGGTACGTTTTCATATATTTACATTTATCATTAGTCTTTTAATAAAAAAAATAATAAGTGAGTCCTGTTCTATCATCAGGCAGTACCTCTCTACCTGTCTTTGAATTTACGGTAAATATGTTAAAAGGCTAAAATGTTCGTAAGTTGAAAAAGTGGCATTATATACAAAAAAATATTTTACTTTATAATATTATCTTTTTTAATCTTAACATTAAAATATATACTTTCGGATATTTTATCACTGAATCTAGGTGATCTTATGTCTTTTGTGGTTAAGCAATGTTTGATGTATTTAATGATCTGTGCTTTGGGATTTGTTTTGTAGTAAATAACGATTTTACTAAAAATTTACTGATAATAATAATGTTAAAAGGCTTACCGTGTATTATGAGGTATTACCTGGTAAAAGAATGTTTATATTAAAACGGTTGAAAGACATCGACTGACTTGCTGCCAGAGCATGAATCGGTTGCTATCATCAAAGAATATAGAACTGCAAGAGCTATGAGAATATAGACATTCAAGTCTTTCCGAATATGTTTTGTTGAAGGTGATTGCTATGCTCATACTATAAACAACTGTAATTGTAATGAAAACGATGGTGTCCAAAGACTTGACGATGGTTATATCGATGATATCGCTACCCTACCGGTCATTAGGCTACAGTTGGGGGACACGGGTTCGCCCAGTGAATACGGTACCAGCACGATTGGACCATTGGAATGTGCAGGTAAACCATAATAATGATAATGATGTTGATTATGATATTGACGATATTAAGGATATTTTTTATAGTGAGAAATGGTGATGGAGATGATGATGATGATAATAATAAGAATGAGGATGACGATGATGATGTAATGATGATGATGATGATGATGGTGATGATGGTCATTATTATTATAGTGATAGAGATGGTGATGTGATATAATGTTACCGTTACAGATATAAATAATAATATTAATTTGAACAATAATGATAATGATAATTATATTAATTATGATGCTATATATTATAAGGAAAAATAAGTCCCTATCTCCTTTATTTACTCCCAATATAATAGAAATATTAATCTTTAATATTATTATTAAGTAAATAATATCATTATTATTGTCGTTTTATGATTTTTTAATGGTACAAAGTGTAAGTTAACATTACTTGTTTGCAGGCTTGACAGGTCGATTTGGAATAATGCAATTCTACGGCAACGTTTGCCTATCTGGACAAATTCTTACGACGTATAGTGCTATGTCTATCATCAAATGTCTCAGCTTCTGTAAGCAACACAAGTTGTGCCAATCGTTCAGCGTCCTCGCTAGTAACGATAGCAACGCAGCGATGACGTGCACTTTGAATTACCAATCAGCGAGAGAGGTTCCTGACAGTCAACTCACGATAAATATGGGTTGCAAACATTTTGAATACATTCACATTTTGAAATAAATGATTTCAGTATTTCGTGAATAGAGGTTGCAAACATTTTGAATACTTAAAAATAAGTCAAATAAGAAATTTAATGATATACCATAATAATTGTTAGGCCAAAATTTGTATTATGGCCTACCTAATCCTTTGCGTATAGTCAACCATCACACACCCAATTTATTTTGCTTATTTTATCAAATTAATTATCTTTAGTGAACGTGCTAAGAATATTTCTTAGTTATTAATATTATGAAAACAAGTGTAAATTACTATTAGACTGTTATTTTGTTGCTAAATATTACTGTACTCGCAAATGTAAAATTATAATGGTAATATTTTTATTGCTAATATTACTGTACTCACAAATGAAAGAAATTCAATTAACAATAGTTTAATATGATATTATTTCATGTGTGTGTATGTCAAATCTTATTGTTGTATCCGCATACTGTAGAATGTGAAATCAATTGCCTCCAATCGGATTCAGAACTTCCAACGAAAGTTTCAGTGGCCCAGTTATTTACCGGCATCTGCAGATATAAAAAAGGCCCGGATTCGAATCCTGGTTGGAGCGATTTTTTCACAATCGCAGACTTCTTTTCTTACCGTTTAGGCTTCAAATTTCATAAATATATGAAAATATAAATTATGGATTATACATCTGTTTTTCATTTTTATTATATCGACGCAGACGGCTCATTATCCTATTATACCATGTATAATGTAAA